TCTGGGGGCTGACGGAGCTGCTCGGGGTGGGCTGGCCCCCCATCCACCCCCGCTGCCTCCCTGGCCTCCCCATCACAGGCAGCAGAGCAGCCTTTGAAGAGGTGAACCTTCTCCCACTCAAGACCCCGCAGGGTCTCCCCCACCGGCCGCAGCGTCTGGGCCCTGCCGACCTCTTGGACGTCCCCTGGCCCCCTTCTGCCCGCCTGAGTCCCCTTCCCACCCCGGCTCTGCCTTCCCATCAGCTCCTGAGCCCTGTCATCCTGCTTCCTTTTCTCGTAAGTTTTCTCTGGTTATCTCATGATATCTGTCCCCTACCCCCGAGACCCCGTCTGTCTTGTAACATCGAATGATCAGAATGGAGAGGAACCTAAATCCCAGGCCCTTGGCAGACTCGTGTTTGTGAAAGGGAAGAAAGCCCCAGGTCGGCACCTGGTCCAGGGCCTGACGAGAGGGGCTCTCAAAGATGAGCTCCCTTCCTTCTAATCGAGATGCATTATTGAGAGGGGCAGCCCCTGAGGGCTCAGGTGGGAAGGATCTTCAGACCCTGTCTTGTCCCATCTGCCCCACCCCCATCTGACATGAAGAAGCTGAGGTCCAGAGAAGAGGCAGGGCCCACCCGGTGCATCTGGATGGGCTCCGAGTCTGATTCCCAGTCCACTGCTCTTGCCCCTCCCGACCCCTCGTCTGTCCAGTCAGCCAGGTGGGGAGGGGCCCGCAAGGCCAAGGCCCAGGATGAGGATGGATGTTCGCCGAGCGCCACCCTTGTCTGGGTAGAGAAAACAGCCATCAGAAGGCTGTCCATCCAGGCCGGGGCCCGCCAAACGTTTCAGGGGAACAGTTGAAGGAGCTGTTTGATCTCGAGAAGAGGGAGAGGCAGGGCCACGCACTCTTCTGACATCTGAACCGCACACTGGACCTGCCCTCTCGGCACCAGAAGACTGAGAAGGCCCCGGGCAGGTCTTCTGTTGCCAGATCTTCACAGAGGCCACGGTTTTCTCAAAGCCCCGGTCGGTCCCACTCGCCTCTGTGCAAACACGCTGGATGGCTTCCCATCACAGATTAAATCTAGTCTCCCCACAGCCACCTCCTCCTGCCCGTGCCCTGGGTGGCAGCCCCCCTGTCGCCCCATGGGGTGCCTTCGTGCTGCTGCCCCCTCTGCCCAGACGTCCACGGCCCAGCCCTTCCTGCCAGTCAAATTAGTATCCCCTCCTCAGGGAATCCCTCCCAAAACGCCCCATCTGAAGCAGGGTTACCCCTCTCCCATCTTTCACTGTCACTTTTCCCTGCTTTTCTTCAAAGCACTTATCGCTCCTGGAGCTTTTGCATTTATATCCCAGTCTCTCCAGCCCACCTGGTCAGTGTGTCTGGTGAGTGTCACCAGATCCCTGTACTTGGCACACAAGTAAGCATTTGTTTCAATAAATGAAATAGAGAGGGTCCCGGGGAGTTCTAAGATTCTGCTTCGTCTTTTGTGCCCAAAGTACTAACCCGGGTGCTGAAGGGCCAGCGGGGGAGGACCGAGATGTCATCTTCCCCTGCGCCCCTACGTCCTAGGGCTGCTGTGAGCAGTTGGCCCTAGTGGAGGAACTAGCGTTCCCAAGGGTAGACTTGTGCGAGCCCCCGTGCCCCCATGCCCCCGGGAGTCCTGCGCAGGGACAGGCTTGGAGAGGATGCGGCCTGGGGGGCAGCTTTCTGTGTGGGGAGCGGGAAGGACAGCCTTCACCCCTCGGGTTAGGAACGACCCACGAGGTTGCTGTCCAGTTCGGGTAAATAACGACCGAGGCCAGGCTCATTCGCTGTGGAGGCCGTCGGGGACAGAACGGAAGAGAGCCCTGGGTAACGTGGAAGGATGGCGCGGGTCTCTGCTTCCGGGGAAGCAGGAGCAGGTGCCCGGCCTCCGCCTGCCGGAGCGGGAGGG